CTCTTTAGCATCACTGAACACATGGTCAGCAGCCTTAAGAAACTCATCCCGGCTGGAAACATAAGCAGTGCTCTCACTGTCACTTTCATCAGTGCTTAGCTCTCCTTCAATCTTCTCAATGCCCTTATTCTTCACTGCAGATGCCAATCTCTTGGTCTCTGACTGGGTTTTCCTTCGTCTTCTGTTCTCTTCCCTGCGCTTAAGGTCCATACGCTTCTGCATGTTGATATCTCTGCCAAACTCATCCAACTCAGGTGGGAGGTTGGAACTTTCCCTAGCAGCAGCAGCTGCTGCTTGGGCAGCATTTGACGCAGCAGACAGGTAAGCTGAGCTTGATCCTTTGCTAAGAATAGATACTGCAGCATTTACAGCAGCTTCGATCACACCTGATTCATCAGCTAGGTCAGCCGCACGCCTCTCAGAGATAGCCAAAGCTCGATTTTCATGCAATTTCTGTATGTGTTCCTCCAACTCCTCTATTAAAAACGCCTTGTCATTCAAGAAATCACACATCACGGAAATATAATCACGAAGCTCCTGCATATAGACAAACCTCTTTTCTGCATCCTGCAAACCACTCTCCAGGCTTGATATCTCTGAAAGAGCTTCATTAAGATGTGTGTCGGTCTTAACTAAAGCACTGACTGTTGTCTTGTGAGTCTCCCTAAGCTTTCGGATGTTGTCTTGCAGGGCTTTGTTTGCAACATCCGCTTGCTGAGCGATGGACAAGAACTCTGCAATTCCAGATGCAAAAACTGATGCCGCAGGCACAACACCGCTAAGGGAGGGCTGGTAATGGGAACCCACTGGGTATCCAAATGGCTGTGGTTGAACCTGCATAGCGGCTGGTACCCCATTTGCTGATCTCTGAGTAGAAGCATCGTCCATCCTCCTACCAAGCCCCTTCCTGAATTGCTCTTCCTCCCATCTCCTCTCTTCTTCATCGTCGTCATCATCATCTCTACCATCATCAACCTTCCTGCTGTCATCACTGAGCCCCCCCAAACCAGTGGCAGGACCCCTGTTACTGATCCCACCAAATACACTTTTTGTGCTCCTCAGGCCATCACTTGGCTTGTCAGTGTACATTGCAATCCGATCCCTTGTCTCATTGTCATCCTCATCACTTGACTCACCACCACCACCCCGGCTGCTCAGCACACCGCCACCATCAAGAGAGATATAATCTGGCGCTGCATGCCTTGGCTGCTGTCGCTGCTGTCGCTTTGCCCTGATGGCTTCAATGGTTGCACGGTCAGGTATCACTGGCCCTTCATCATCTTCATCTCCTTCCTCCTCTTCTTCAGATTTATCTTCCTCCTTGTCGTGCTTCGGTATCCTTGGCCCAATGCTGGCCTCAGACATAGGTTTCACCAAACCTTTAAGAATAACCACAGTTTCTGTTGCAGCTGCGGTGGTGGTAGCTGGAGTGGAACTTGCAGGGGTACCAGCCAATTTTTGTGACCAGGGCTCAGTCGCCGGAGTCTGTGGTTGGGAACGCAAGAGGCTCCCAGGGAGCGGGCGCGCATTCTTCTGGAGCTCCCGGAGGCGCTCTGGTGTGTACTCCCCAGCATGGGACTGGAAGTTGGACGGCTTAGGCGCCGACACAGCAGCGACGGCAGGCGCCGGCGAGCTCCTGATCCGATCCCTGGCGGGCGTGAGGCGGTGGAGCGCTCCCGCGGCCGGGGACGCCGTGCGCGCCGGGCGCACCGAGGCCGTCGGGGGGCGGCGGCGCTGCGCGAAGGGGCCCTCCTCGGCGTCGTCCTCGGCCTCGTCGTCCGCGAAGCTGAGGCGGCTCGCCCCCTGACGCCTCGGCGGCGACTTGGGCTTGGGCACCGTTAGGCTTTTCGTCTTTGTGGAGGTGGCGGTGGAGGGCTTGGAGTGGCTTCCGCCGTCGCCGTTGGCGTCCTCGTCGTCATCCGCGCGGCGTCGGAAGTTTTTGCGGTTGCTACTCATACCGGCTCACCGGGACGTCGCCACCGGAGGAAACCTGATAAGTTTTAGGGTATTGGATTAAGGCGGGCGTATACAGAAACCTCCGATTCGAAGGGTGAGAAAGAGGACACGGTGATCGAACCTGCAGCTGCTTCGGCGTCGGCGGCGGCGGCGTCTAGGGTTCCGGCGAGGGAGATGGCGGTGCGGAGCCGGTTGGGATTTGGGAAGATCCGTGCGCGTATGCGAGAGCTTGGAGAAGAGGGGCTGCTGGGTTTGGGTGGATTCGATTCGTATCCAACTGTGAATCGATTGGGCCAAACCGACTTCGATTTCGACATGAGGCCGATACAGACCACTGCGTAGGCCCAGTTAGTATTGGGCCCGTTTGCTCATCGTCGTCGTTTTCATGAGTGGTCCGCACCACTGCTGCATCGCCATTTCTCCGTCCCAAAACCCTAGGCTAGTCCCCCCGCACCTGATCGATCGGAGGCCATGGCGATGGCGAGGCTCCGATCCGCGGCCTCCCTCCGCGGGGCTCTCCTCCGCCACTTTTCCGTGGTGCCCGCCTCGACTCCGCACGCCGTCTCCCGGGTCCCAGGTATCTCTCCGCCTCTCGATCGCTCCCTTCTTTCTGCCGTCGTTGTACTCCTGCCTCCGTGTTTGCTTCGATCCCAAAAATGGTGGCGTCTAAGATACGAGTGCATGCCTGAAATGTCTGAGGAACAGTGATCCGTATGTTTTCTTGTTTGATTATTGTTATTATGCCTGGGACGGTGGGAACAGGTGTGCTCTGTTCTTCTCTGGCAGATCGATTGCTGCTATGTCATGTATAACTGTGAATTGTTAGGTTTCTTCAAAAAAAAAAGGTGAATTGTTAGGGTAGATGATGGCACCTTTGAACGTTTCAAAGGAAACGTGATATTTGCTAGAGGATAGGATGCCAGATGGAGTACTAGCCATTCATTTAGAGACTACTGTAATTTGCAACTTCAGCCTCGGTAAATCCCGCTCTAGATTCAAAACTAGGTATAATTTGCGAATGGCCTAATGTCTATTGTTCTATGAGCTGCACTCGCACTATATAGTTGCATTTTGCCAGCTTACTTACAATGGTACATAGGGTGCAATTTCTGGTATATTATGTCAAATCTAGTATTTCATTTCCATATTTTTCCGTCGAATAATAGTGAGTACCTTGACTCAAACTGTCTGACCTGTTGGATAACTGAAGCGAATGTTAATGTTCCGCATATTTGTTGTTGATTGTGTGCATCACTGTAAAGCACTATACCATGTCAAACTGTGCTCATTATTTTTTTTTCTTCTACAGATTTCCATGTTCCTCAGTCTATTATGTGGAGGCATTTCTCAATGTCCAGGCCTAGTTCTCTTGCAAGACATGACAACTTTGGTCTGGTTGCCTGTTTGCACACTCAGATAAGATGGGCTTCGCAGGCTGCTGCTGTGAAAGAAACTGAAGCCAGTGGCAGCAAGATAAGCATCGGGCCCAAACCAAAACAGATCAAGGAGGATGACGAGGATGCTAACCTGGTATATCAAGGGCCAATATCATCAACCATAAAGAAAGTGAAGCTTCTCTCTCTGTCCACCTGCTGCCTCTCCGTGTCGCTAGGGCCAGTGATAACATTCATGACTTCACCGGACATGAATGTGATCCTCAAGGGAGCTGTTGCATCCACCGTCATTTTCCTCAGTGCCACTACAACTGCAGCCTTGCACTGGTTCGTGAGCCCATACATTCACAAGCTCCGGTGGCGTCCTGGTTCAGATAGCTTTGAGGCTGAGGTGCTGACATGGCTAGCTACTCCCCTAAAAAGGACTGTCAAGTTTGCCGATGTCAGGCCTCCCGAAACAAACAGGCCTTTTGTCACCTTTAAGGCTGAGGGGAACTTCTACTTTGTCGATGCTGAACACTTCTCAAACAAGGCCCTGTTGGCTAGGCTAACACCCCAGAAGCTTCCTCATGAGTCTGCGTTCAAGAACTTGTGATTGGAAGTTGTTCCACTTGCCCATGCCTGCACTTTTGGTCCTGAGCTTTCGTAGGTCGTTTGAAAACACTGCTAATACTTTCCTGAAGATGTGTTACTATATATTTGTACTGTTGCTTACATTCTATATGTGGAGATTTGCTAGCTGCTTGTGCGTAGCAGTTTTAGTTTAGGAAACACTATGAGTTCTGGTGTTGACAGTTGAGTCTGCACTTTGAATAAGTAGGTGGTAAGATATCTGCCTGGGATCCTTAATAAATGTCTTTTTCAATCTGAAATTGCCTACTTCGCCTTGCTGCCGGAAATGGCTTGGAATCTGATTGCTCAAATGTAATCTGGTGCTCCTGTGTTGCCTTGGGGCAGCATGACAACTATTTGCGTGGGGGGCATGATAACATTATTGAGTCGTTGTACAAGAGTTGTGTACCTTTTCCATTTGCTTCCTGGTTGATTCGTGCACCTAAGGTTCATCCATGCACGGAGCACGGTTCTCGGACTGTGCGGATAGGCCTCATTTGCCGGCGTTGCTAGCTGACATTCTGCTTTGTGTGACAGGCTGACAGCCGTCGAATGGCTTTTAGTTAGGTTTTGCGGCAGCTTCATGTTACCATCGAGGAGACCAGCACCCTTCGATATGATCTGACCACGTTTCTGCTTTACTAAGAACTCAACATCTATGACAGACCAAACTTTTTTAAAAAAAAAAAAGTCAGTTCGACAATCATTCTCACATTAACATGAAAAGAAAAAGAATAAAGGATAATGTGGTATATTTATCAAACGGAACTCTCAACGCTGCCGTTCTGCATTTTGTCTCACAATCCACATCGGCTAAACTATGGTTCTTATCTACTATAAAACATGTCTTAGGACACCACAACTCAAAATCTCTTGATTTGATTACTTCACGAACAAATCCTTGTTGCAAATCAACACCGATGACAACACCACCATTCGCGTTTCAGTCAGAATCACATACAGACAGCAAGCAAAATGTGGACATTTCAAACCATGTGGACAGCAGCAAAATTCCACATTAGTCAGTTGAGATCAGGTCTATTCGGACACCAAATCCTCCAACTTCTTTCGGAACTTTGGAACAGCATCAGCTTTAATTGCCATCACTAAGCCCATCTCTTTGTAATTCTTCATCTGCATGACGAGCCAGAAAGTTCAGTTTAGGAACAACTTCTAATTTTTACAAACAGGCATATCATTTGAAACATTCAGCGATGGATATCAATGGCAGATTACAAATAACCATCAGGAGGCAGATTACATAGACATAATTATCAGGAGGGACTATAACAAGAGTTCAAGACAAGGTGAGAAGGAACAAAAGTTCCAACTTCACATTCTTTGGCTCTGGCTACTAGTATTTTCTCCAGTTTTTAAGGACACGATATGAGTGATGTCATGCAATCCAAATACCAACTAAAAGTGCCAAAGATATAATAGAACCAGTCAGCAATTGCATATTTCAAGAGCACAAAGCAGCAAATGATAAAATGCAACTGACCTCCTGTTGAGCAGACTGTTCCGAACGTATTGGAAAAGTGAAAGACCACGAGCTAAGCTGAAGAAAAAAGAATTTGTTAGCATCAATAAAAGAAATACATACAACGAATATCTGAATAGCATTCTTTGATACCTCGTGAAAAATTTCATCCTCTAACTTCGGATAGATAACAGGTTTGTCATCATCTTTGCTCTTCTTTGATTTATGTTCTGCAGGGGTTTTCCTCTGCACGCAGCAATCGACAAGTGAGTAATGGCCAAAGCAATCCACAACAAAATGAACACTCATTCACATATAGGGGGACACAAATACTGGACATTATTGATCAACACATCATCTTACATGGTTCTACTCCACTGAGCATGGAAACATGCCCCTTTAAACATTGAGTGAAATCCACTGGGTCCCTAAACTTGTCCTGTGTTCTCAACTAAGTCCATGAACTTTGAAAACCGGAATTTCGGGCTCCTAAACTTGATAAATGTATTATTGGAGGTCCAATCCGGGTTTAGGCAGCCTGTTTCGCCAGCATGGACTGCCACTGTGTCTGTTGGGCGCGTGAGGGAGCAGCCTGTGGGTTGGCAAATATTGGAGGAGCCCCCTGTGCGCTGCTCATTTTCATTTCTCATCCCCGCGACCTCACACAGCAGGCGGAGGCGGCGGAGTTGGCAAGCTTCGAGGCGGCCGTCAGCGCCATCGGCAGAGTCGAGGAAGGCTTCACACCTCGCCGCCTTCCTCTACTCCGCCGACGGCCGCCTCGAAGCTCGCCATCTCCGCTGCCACGAAGCAACCAAATGATCTACTTGACATCATAAATCACAGCTGACATTTTTGTAGCCGAGACAAAACAAACAACTTCTAACAGCAAGATTTTTTTTATCATTATGCATTATGTTCTCAATAGGTATAATTGTAGTGAGACTTCTTGAATTATCACCTTAACAAAAATGGTCCTCATCACTAAAAACCAGACTACTGCGTTATCACAAATGCAGTATGTTATGTATTATCATAAAGGATTTAGTCTTCGGTGTGGAATCTAAAACAGGTGAGGAAAAAATGGCAGGCAAGTTTGTTTTATCATCATCAGCTTGAATAGAAGTATAAAAGCTTATGACATCAGCTTTTGAAATGCAATGTTGATTAAGGAAAACGTTGGAAATACTAATGGGATACTCTGCAAATAGAAAAGGACGTGTGCAGGTGCAATATCTTTCATTTACTTGGAGATAGTAAAACGTTTCATGAAGAAATATATATTACCTAGCTAGCAGCTGCTTATTGACCAGAGGAAGAATTAATCTGATAACTTGCTAATAATGATCAATTGAGCAGCTGATGTCCTAATGTTCCAATAATAAATATCTTGGAAACAAAAAGGAAAGGTTAGGATATGTCTATTAACATAATTTGCACATTCCATCCTGTAGATAGATCAAAATGTGTAAACTGCCATATTTCCTTGCCTTTCTGAAAGGCATGTAGCAGAGGACTGTCAAGGAGATTACAGATCCTACAATGACACAGTATTAGTTCAAATCATAACTGTGTAATTCTAAAAAAAAAGTTCAAATCATAACACATAGAACCAATTTATTGCAAGCTAGTGTCAATTTGATGAACAGAAGATCAAGTTAATAACTCAATATTGGATTTTTAAAAGAACATAATAAGTGTTGAGTCAGAACACAGAATTAAGATAATAAAATTACAGTTTGCAAGCAACGCCATCAACTCTTGGAAGACATGCTGTTAGGACAAAAAAAAATTTGTCAAGTACAACTTATATAAGTTGGCGTTGTCTTAAAGGAAACATCATTTCTATTGGGATGCAAATTCAATATATAAAGTACTGCAAGAAAACAAGAGTAGCGATTAATGAAAATCACATTATTGTAACAAAATCTTTGTTATGAATGAATAAGTTAATGCTACAACTTACAACAAATGGAGTATAAAAAGTACTCCAGCATGAGCCCATCGGCATATTAAAAAAATATGGATGATCTCTAAGGCCTCCAAATCTCATCCCAACAATTGTCAACCACCTTTTGAACTCTCTTAGTCTGACAAACTCCTCTCACTACGGTATACCAAATGACAGCCTCTGGCACAATATACTTAGCCAGCATGACCATTACAACATCTCCTGCTGCCCTATATCTATCTCTATAGCATAGCCTCATGACCAGTCCCTCTAAGAATTCCCTACCTTTCCCCTCTACAACTCCAATCTCCCACAAGAAAATATTGCATGTTACTGTGTCTGGATCACACATTTGATCAAGCATCTGGTTAAGCAAGTCCATTGCCCGAGGTAGGTCATTTGTGCGGATCAGCGCGTCCAATAGAACATTATAAGTAATGACATCTGGTTTGGCATCACCCTTTGCCAGCATGTCATTAAATAGACGGAGACCACCATCTACCATCCCAGACATGCATAAACCTTTCATCATTGAAGTATAAGCAATGGTATCAGGTGCACAGCCACGACCAAGCATGTTTTTCCAGACCATCATAGCATCTTTTAATCTCCCTACATCGCACAACCCACTGATCAATATGCTGTAACTAATGGCACTTGGCACACAGCCAACCTTTATCATCTCCTCCCATGTAGAGAGTGCCCGCGATGAATTACCAATGTGGAAATATCCCCGAGTCATTGAGCTGTATGTCATGATATTTGGGATACATTTCGCATCAACCATTTCTTCAAATAACGTTTCAGCTTCTGTCATCCTCCCAGACCGTGCAAAGCCATCAATCATTGCTGAATACAAAACAACATTGGGCTTTACCCTAGCAGCCACCATTGCCTCCCACACCATCAATGCCCTGTCAACTTCTCCTGACTTGCAAAACCCGGTGATCACAGCCGAGAACACAAACTCACTGGGTGCAAGCCCTTTACTCCCCATTTCCTGAGCCACCTTCCATGCATCCTCCACTCTCCCACACTTCACCAGCCCATCGACCACTGCTCCGTAGGTCATCAACCCTGGCACAATCCCTTCATTCTCCATTCTTCTCATGATGTTCATTGCTGCCCTCGCCTTCCCACACAACAGTAGACCATGCAGCAGCACATTGTATGTCACCGCGGTCAGTGTGCAGCCCTTCAGCTGCATAAACCGAAATAGCTTGGCTGCCCCATTGACATCCCCTGCACGCAGCATCGCCCTCAGCACGGGGTTAAAAGCCTCAGCAGACACCACTCCATCAACCACCATCTCATGAACCAGTGCCACCGCGTCTTCCACCCGCCCTGCATCGGCCAGTGCAGAGACGACGGTAGAGTAGGTGAACTTATCCGGCACAAGATTCCACGCTGGAATGACATCGTGGAGGATTCCCAACGCGATTGCAAGATAGAGGCCGGGGTTCCTTGGGACCATAGAGGAGCAGATGCACTTGAGGAGGAGGTTGAAGGAGAGCAGAGTGGGAGTGAGGCCAGGGAAGCGGCGGAGGGAATGGGAGAAGAAGGCCGGAAGGAGGTGAGGAGGGAGGGGAAACCGGAGTAGCGCGGAGTTGAAGGAGTGGTGGGTGGTGGCGGCGGATGTGGGCGGGGAGAGGAAGAGGCGGAGCGCAAGGATCGGGCGGGGCGAGCGGGCGAGGGCGGCGACGAGGTGGGGGAAGATGTGTGGGGAAGCGTCGTGGGGAAGGCGGCAGAGGAAGCCGAAGACGGACGCGGCGGACGGGGGCGGGGAGGCGACGGCGAGGGATCGCGCGACGGATAGGAGCGTAGGCCCGGCGGCCGGGAAGAGCTCGTCGGCGAGGGGCAATTCGTCGTCGGATGAAGAGGACGAGCGGCAGCCGCGCGCGATGGAGGCGGCAAGGGAGGGTAAGCAGGTGAGACGGCGGAGGGAGAGGGGGAGGCAGGTGGCAGGATGGGGCATAGGGGGAGGCGAAGCATGGCGGTGGGGAGGACGGCGGCGGTGTTCAGGCGGAGGAGGGCCGGCCTTGCAGCATTTTTGCTGCGGGGTGGGCAATTCTTGCAAAATCTTGGTCTAGGGTTTATGTGAGCTAATAAAATACAGTCTTTTCTCGATCGATCGTTTATGTGGTTTATAAGCCGGCTGATGCTGTTTTATTTGAGAGAAAAACGTTGTATCATGACTGATAAGTATGGCTGATACGATCAAGTGAACTGGGTAATTGTCCCGTCTTAGTGGGGTCATGGCGTTTTTTTTAGGAGTACCATGTCATGTGAAATGAAATAGAACTGGGATAAAACACTAATTCTCAACGGAGAGTTTAATTATATGATTTCATATGTATTTAATTTTCAGACTCATAGAGAGGTAGGTCTTGTTTAAATTGCAGGGGCTAAAGTTTAGAGGTGTCACATCGAATCTCACATCATGGTGTTACATGAGAGTATTCCGATAGTAATAATAAAATAACTTACAGAAATCCTCCGCGAGATGAATCTATTAAACATAATTAATCCGTCATTAGCACATCTTTACTATAGCTTTATTGTAGCACCACACTGTCAAACCATGGACTAATTAGGCTTAAAAAACGTCATGTAAATTAGTCGCAATATGTGTAATTAGTTAATTTTTAGTCTATATTTAATACTTCATGCATGTGTCAAACATCCGATGGGATATGGACTAAATTTAGGAGGAGAAACTAAACAAGACCTTAGTAATCGTGCCACGAGAGTTTTATTATTTCTTCTCTCTCTTCTTGAATACACTGCTATGTCATAAAAATTGTTTATGTGACAACCTATTTAATACAAATGAAAATCACATGAAACTCTCGCTGAGACTTGCCTTATAAAAGTTTGTAATTTTGTCTATATAGTTAAAAAAGTTGAAAGACTCATGTTCCCCTCGCCTGATTTTTTTTGTTTGCCCTCCACACTGCTTATGTTAGATTTGACTCTAACGATGTCAAACTGCGATGGAAAACTTCAAAAATACTTTTGAGTCCGAATGTGCTATTATTATTTTTTAGCGTCTTAAGGCCTAAAGCAAAGAACTCAGAACTAGAAAATTGTAGATCTCGTCACTACTATTTTCATATAAAAAATATCTTCATTTAATTTCGTAAAAAATGATTTTTCTAAGGCATATTAATCATATTTTTTCTGTACAAAATCATATCTTTTTTGTATGGAGTAAAATAAAGATATTTTTAGATGAAAATTGTACAATTTTTTAGTTTTGGGTTTTTTCATTTGAAGTCATTAATACGCTAAAAACAAGAATGACACATTCAAACTCGAGGGTATTTTTAACTTTTTACACCAGACACCGTTAGTGCCAAGTCTGATATAAATGGTGTGAAGCCCCAAAAAAGTTCAGACTAGTCACTAGTGGCACGGGAATTGTAGACTTTTAGGGTCTATTTGGAACAAATGAACGAAAAACACAGGAAGAAACGTGAGAAAACAGAGGAATAGGAGGAATGGAGATGTAAAAACATTGGATTGAAAAACATAGGAATATGTGTTTGGAACACCGGAATAACAGTCTGTTCGCTTGTTGGTTTCAATGAAATTCAAATCACCGGTACCAACAATGTTTTTCTCAAAAAAAACCAAAGACAACAAATTTAAAACCAAAACCACCAGACCAACCAAATGTAAGACCCTAAGACTGGTATAGGAATTTTAGAGTTAGCTGCAAACTCAATGCTTTATATTAAAATTAACAGTAAATAATATTTTTTTTCACAAAGCCTGGACGTATATATATATATATATATATATCAAATAAAGCATGGAAGAGGGCCGCAGCCCCACAACTACCACCTGTTCAGCTACCGAGCGAACCGGTGCAACATCTTGTCCGTTCTTCACTCAATGGCTACCGTACACTGCTGCTGTCTTTTCTCTCTTCCTCAGTGCAATAGCAGCATCCGTCGTCATGAACTTGATTAGCCTGTGACATTCCCTCGGCTCAGCGTGCATGTTTTCTTTCCTCCAAAAGTAGATGATTGTTCGCCATTCTAAAGGTAATGTCACTGTTCATTCCTTTGTTTCAAACGCAACTACAGTTGGAAAAAAACCATAGGAACTTGCCCTCTGTTTGGTTGATTTATAAGTCGTACCTTTTTAGCCAATGAATAATATTTTTCTCTCACAACAAATCAGCTAACAGTACTTTCAGTCATGGCTTATCAGCCTAGCGAACAGAGCATTGATTTCTCCATTTTCCTATGCTTTTCCCGTGAACCAAACGGGACCTTATAATGGTTAATGGCACACATGGAAAAAAACTCTAAAATATATAGCGTTATAACAATAGGCCCATTCTATCTCCGTCCGAAAACCCTAGGTAGTCCCCCACACCACACCTGATCGATCGGAGGCCATGACGGCAGGTGACAGCCGTCGAATAACTTTCACTAAACTGTTGCTGCTTCTCGTAACAGGAGGACCCATAATATGGTCTGATATTCTGATCGCGTTTCTGTTTCTGCTTTACTAAGATCGCAACGATCATTCTCACAGAAACATGAAAAAAAAAGATATAATGGTATATGTATCAAACGGAAATCCCAACCCTGGTGTTGTGCATTGTCTCACAATCCACATCAGCTAAACTATCAACTATGGTGCTTATCTATAAAACATGTACTAGGATACACAACTCAAAATCACTTGATTAGTTCATGGATGAATCCTTGTTGCAAATCAACACCAAAAACAGTACCACCATTCGCGCTTCACAGTCAGAATCACAGTCGTTAATGACATCAAGCGAAATGTGGACATTTCAAACCATGTGGACAGCAGCAAAATTCCACATTGGTCAGATACGCAAAGGATTATTCGGACACCAAATCTTCCAACTTCTTTCGAAACTTTGGAACTGCATCAGCTTTAATTGCCATCACTAAGCCCATCTCTTTGTAATTTTTCATCTGCGTGAAGAGCCAGAAAGTTCACTTTAGGAACAACTTCCAATTTTCACAAACAGGTAGTTATAACTTATAAGCCACATATCATTTGAAACATTCATCTATGCATACCAATGGCAGATTACAAATAACCATCGGGAGGCAGATTACAAATAAATCATCAGGAGGGACTATTAACAAAAGTTCAAGACACACGGTGAGAAGAAACAAAAATTCCAACTTCACATTCTTTGGCTTTGGTTACTAGTATTTTCTCGAGTTTCTAAGGACATGATATGAGTGATGTCATGCAATCCAAATACCGACTAAAAGTATCATACAGACAACCAGTCGGCATTGCATATTTCAAGATCACAAAACAGCAAATGATAAAATGCAACTGACCTCCTGTTGAGCTGCCTGCTCAGAACGTATTGGAAAAGTGAAAGACCATGAGCTAAGCTGAAGAAGAAAGAATCTGTTAGTATCATAAAAGAAATACAAACAACAAAAACCTGAATAGCATGCTTTGATACCTCGTGTAAAATTTCATCCTCTAACTTCGGATAGATAACAGGTTCGTCATCATCTTTGCTCTTCTTTGATTTATGTTTTGCAGGGGTTTTCCTCTGCACGCAGCAATCGACAAGTGAGTAACGACCAAAGCAATCCACAACAAAATGAGCACTCATTCACATACAGGGGGATACAAATATTGGATATTGTTGATCGACACGTCATATTACATGGTTCTAATCCACTGAGCATGGAAACAGGCCCATTTAAACATTCAAGGCAATTGGTACCAGGCTAGGCAATAGAAAGGGAAAACAGAATATAATTCTCACCTCGAGCATTCTGACGACCAACAGGTAGTGCTTGAACCGGAAGGAGCCCCGGAGTTCTTTTGTTGGCTTAAGCCATGCAGACACAGTTGCAAGTTCATTATCCGAGTAGAAATAGACAGAAAATAAGGTGCTTCAGAACATAAAACTACCTCATCTTCTGTTGCCCAGGAGACCTCGTCAAAGAGCGCGTCATACAGCTTAGGCACGAGTTCATAAGGGAAATTCACAAAGCGGCGGCACACCAGCAGGCCCACACTTGACGCTCTCTCTTCAAGCAGATACCTGAGCTGCTTATTAGTACCCTTGTCGGCACAGACAGCAAGCAGATACTCCTTAAGATCCTTAATGCATTTTTGCTCCTGCGAAAATCATCAGCAACAAAGAGATATAGCATGGGCATCAACAGATCAAAATCGAACATCTTGTTCATAAATGAAGCCTGGATGCGCGAATCATACAGCGTATCGTCCCAAATTGAGCACGCTAATGAGACCAAATAGATCATCATCGTCAGTGTTGTTACTGGAATTGGCCTTCTCAGCACCGTTTCCTTCCCCTTCCTCGTCGTCGTCATCAGCCAACTTGACGACCGTGCCTACTGTCGTCTGTGCCAGGATAAGGTCAACGAAGCCGGTGAGGTCCCAGGGCTTGGAGTCGAGGTACGTCTTGAGCAGCAGCCTGACGCCGTGGAAGTCGCTCGGCTTTGGGTCGAAGAAGGCGAAGTCCGCTTGCACCGTCTCGAGCTGCAGGTGCCAGGTCCCGCATCCAAATTTAGGAGAGGGGAAATCAAAGGGTTCCTGGTAAGAGGAGAGGTACAAGTTCCAGGTAGGCGGTCACCTCCTCCGAAGACTCCTCGCCGTCGTCGCTGTCGCTGTCGCTGCCGCTGGTGCTGAAGCTCTCCTCTTCGCTTCCGCTGCTGCCGTGGTCCTCCACTTCGTCGCTGGAGGGCTCGGTCCGCTTCGCGCGCTTGGACGGTGGCCGCGGCATGTCGTCTGGTGAGCAAGCGAGGCGTGCATTGAGTGGCGTGATTCGAGCAACGGGATAGGGGTAACTCGTTCCGGAACGAGCGGAAGCGTACCTTGGCGAGGGGTTTCGGCGTCAGCGTCGGCGGCGGAGGTGGAAGCGTCGGGGAGAGGAAACGGTTTTGGACAGCTTGAGGCGGCGGCGGAGAAGATGAGGGAGCGAGCAAAGGGGGAGAAACCGGCGAACGGGGCCGGAAGCTTTCGGCCGCCGGGCATTCCTCAGAGGTGTCGGGGGCAGGCGGAGCGGCGGCGGCGGTGGGGGAAGAGGGCGGCTGGCGGCGGCGCTCGTGAGCTGTGGCTTGTGTGGGAGTTGTGGACCGATTGATGTGGGGTCGAGTGGAATGGGCTTTGGAGCGGACTGGTCTGGGCCTCAGGCGGGCTCTGTTGGCTGCTGGGCCGTGTGAAAAGCCGGGAGTAGAGATTAGAGAAGCCCTTCTTCGTCAGTTCGTCTAACGTCTTATTATTCCTGTGAGTCCCCCCCCGGCGGTGGCGGCGGCGTTGGGCGCTCGTTTGGGAGAGGAAGGCGTTGCGCGGCGCAAAAGCCTAGCTCCTCGTAGGCGTCAAGTGCTCTCTGGCCTCGCCGACCTTGGGGGCGCGATGAGGGTGAAGGTGATTTCGCGCTCCACCGACGACTACACGCGCGAGCGCAGCCAGGACCTGCAGGTAGGCGTCCCCTATCGCGACGGTGATTCCTGTCCTTGCTGATACAACTGCCTGTTCATCCGGCTTCTCGTTGTTGTAGAGTCTAATTCTATGCTATCCTTTTAGTTTGTTGGATTGGATTCCACTTCCAGCGCTGGTTGGAGTCTTTGCCCAACTGCATGTCAATCATTTAGGCATCGATAAAATTTCACCTCACTCCACCACTGACACTCCCTAATGCACTTGTTGGTCTCAACAGAAAGTATTCCGCAACTATGATCCAGCGCTTCGTAGTCAAGAGAAAGCTGTTGAGTATACTCGGGCACTCAATGCTGCCAAGTTAGAGAAGGTATGACACTTACTCCTTCCCTGCATTCATGTTTTGTTTCTTTATTACTTTCTATTTCTATTGGGATGATGATTTTTCTGCTCTACTTTGTGCAGATATTTGCTAAGCCATTTATCGGAGCTATGGATGGGCATATTGATGCGGTATCGTGCATGGCCAAAAACCCCAATCATTTGAAAGCAATATTTTCTGGCTCAATGGATGGAGGTAAGTACCTATTTCTTGACTAGCTTTTGTCTTATTGACTATATTTTCACAGTATTATCTGCTGCTTGGTAAATTGCATCAATCAATTGCTTATATGATCACAAGTACACACAACAGATTTATGGTTTTGTGACTTTAAGTGGTGGCCTTGTTGGTGATACTAATGTAAGGTTTCATTCCTGAGTTCGTTTGCATCTTTGTAACTGGCTAGCTGCTTCAAGTGAACTATTGTCATGCTTCTCCTTTATAGACAATCCTCCAGTCCTCATCTTCGAATTATGTACTGGTTTGGTGATATTTTGGCATGAATGAAAATGCTATTTGGGTGTTATTATAAAATAAAACATGGGCCTGCTATGTTTCCCTGAATTTGTTTGTCAGGGCCTTAAGCATGCATTGCACTTTCTTATTATCAGGAAATTGTAAAATGGCTTCTAGGGTACAGTCTATGGTAATTCCCTTTTGTCACCTATTGTTATTCTGAGTGATCACCAAGACTTACAGAAAAGTGATTCCATATTGGTGGACTATGTCTTATTATTATTATTATACCTAGTGAACAGGTAATCCGGCGCTTTTCTAAAATATTATAGTTTCGTTGTCAAGGCTCTTGAGCACCTCAAGAGTCTTGTGTCATATATTTATGAATAGGACACCATTGCAGTATTCACTTGTGCTTGTTGTAGCTATTGTATGCAAATTTGCAACCTGATAGATTTAACCACTTCTTAAACGTTGAACATGGTCCATCATCTTCATTATTTTTCATGATTTTTTTTGGATCCATGCTTTACCTTTATCTGTCAATCAACTTGAAACTTGAATAATAAATGGTAAAATTCACCTTTCTGTTTTCTTGGCAGATGTTCGCCTTTGGGACATCGCTGCGAGGTACTGCTACTGTATTGAGGATTACCTCGTTCCTTAACCATCTGATATCTATTTCTTCCATTTGTTCTTGGATTTATATCATATTTCATGCCGTACATCAAAGTAAATTTGTGATTTTTACAACAATGACAACAGGAAGACAGTTTGTCAGTTTCCCGGACACCAGGGTGCTGTTGTTTAACAACATCCACGGATAGTGATCTTTACTAGCATGTGGGATTATACACCAATTGTTGATATCGCTTTTCATATATAGGAGATAAGTAGCACATTGATTACATTGATGGCTCATTAGAGCATTAACTAAAATGACTAATCTGCACAGGTACTTTACATCACTTGTCTTTGCCCAAGGCCTTAATAGCGTAAACATAAATAGCTTTGAGATAACTAAGTGATAGCTCGGGAGCAGGACTTAACTTCTAGTGGTTTCTCCCCTAAGACCTCGCTTTCCCCATCCTTGATCTTCATGATCCCAATCTTGCTTCTCATGTCTTCAAACTTGGCCTTGCCTAAGGCCTTAGTCGATGTACGCCAATTGATCATTTGTGGCGGACGAACTCGCTCGATCTTGATCTTCGCCTTCTTCAACACAATCTCGATGAAGTGTTGCTTGATTCTCGATATGCTTGCTTACATCATGAAAGATGTGGGTTCTTTGCAAGTGCTATTGCTGATTTGTTATCCACTCGCAGCTCTACTACTTCCACTTTCTTTCCCAACAATTGACAAGTAACCTGGACATACCACAGAGCTTGTGTTGCGGCGGTAGTCATGGCAACATACTACGCTGCTACACTGACTAGATAAGGCAACTTCTCTTTGTTTAATGGATCGCCAATCCACTGAGAGTTGTTGCCTAGGAAGAATAGACAACTTCACTGTAGTGCTCTTGCTTGAGTCAATATCTCCACCAAGTCTCGAGTCCACAAGAGCCAATGAATCTGGCTTCTTTGGATGCCTTGGTGAAGTGCGTGCCATACTCTGCATCGCGCGCCACATAAGAAGGATACGCTTCCTTTTCTTTTGATGCTCTATGCTCTATGGTGGGCCTCTGAAGAAATCTACTCACAAACCCGATTGCGCAAATGCCAAGTCAGTCGAGTATGAACCAAATATCGCGGGCTTCCAACCACATTTGCTGTCTTGTGTTGGATCAACTTCCTTGGTTGTACTCTTCTTGCTCAATCTTAGCCTTTCCTCCATAGGAGTGATGATTGGGTTTTGCGGATCCACCATACCACCCAATTCCAGTATCCTTTTGGCATAGTGAGTGCTGTCTAAGGGTGATGCCATCGGTGCTGCTCATTGCATGCTTCAATGCCCGGATAGAAGCTTAAGAGCCGAGGTCACTCATCTCAAATGTTGCTTTCATTTCAGCCTTGAAGCTTTCAACATCCCTGCTCTTTGGCCCCGTGATGATGATCAAATCATCCACATACACACACCGACAAGCAACAAGAGAGTTTCCGAGAACCTCGCCTATAGATTGCGACTTCATGGTTGCTTTATGCGAAACCTTTCTTCTTCAATGTTGAATCAAGCTTTGCATTCCATGCTCTTGGTGCTTGTAGTGAGGCCATACAGAGCTTTGTGCAAGCGATACACCTTGTCTTCTTGTCCAAAGAACAACAAAGCCAAAGCCGGTGATGATGCACATATACCTCCTCGTTGAGGTCTCCATTCGTAAATGCGGACTTGACGTCCATCGATGAAACAGACCAACCCTCTCGTGTGCCGCAGAGCCAACAAGACTCGAACGGATTCCATGCGTGCGGCGGTAAAGCATCATCATAATCCACGCTTTTTCTTTGGACAAAGCCAGAGCGACACAAGTCGGCTTTGTGTTTGATAACATTACCGTGTTCGTCCTTCTTCAATTTGAACACCCACTTCGTGGTGATTGGGCCCGGTGGTGGCGAGGAGGCTTCACAAGCTCCGTGTCTTGTTTCTCTCTCTTGATCGCAGCTCTTCTTTCATTTTTGCGCACCACGCCGGATCTCTCTTGGCTTCGATATCACGAAGTTGGTTCGCCAGAGTGCGTTAGATGCGACTCCATGAACAGCGAAGAGTGGTGTGTGGCGGTGTGGGTCGCCGCCAATGATATTCTTGCCGATTACCAGCGAAGTGGTTCATCCTCGTGATAAGCATCCATCGATCATCATCATCCTCCGAGGCGTGGCATGCTCAATCGAGGACTTGGTGGCGGTGGTGACACTTCCAAAGCAGCACCGGAGCGAATTAGCTTGAGGATGAGTTGATGCGGAGCCCTCTGCTCCTTCAACTCCAATTGGGCTGTTTGGTGCGGGTGTTCTTGGTGAATCGGGGAGAGAGAGGCGGCGGGCGGCGGTCTTTGGGTTCGCTTCGCCTCCTCGACCGGACATACTCAATCTGTGAATTCACCTGCTGTGTTCACACGGTGATGGCCCAGATTCCGCGAGGACCAATCCCAGCCATGTTCTTCATCAAAAATACAACATCACGGTGATCCGACACGCCCGCTCCACAGGCTCAAACACCCTATATGCCTTAGCTCCTTCAGATAACCAAAAACACGCCCGGCCTCGCCATGGTCATCAAGTTTCTTGCGGTTGACCGAGCTTCCTTGTGTATGCCACACACCCAAACACTTTCATGTGTCCCCGAGTTGGTGAACGTCCATGCGAGCCTCATATGGGTGATCCCCTTCAACGCGCGCGTGTCGGGTGATCGGTTCGAGTATGTGGACTTGCATCATCTGACCTCCCCCAAAACCGAGCCGGCAGGCCCTACCTAAGCGATTGCCCCTTGCCATGGCCACTACTCTTGATCGATTGCGTTGATTGTTCAACTACCCCATTCTCTTTGAGGTGAGTGGGGAGCAATGAAGTGCCTCTTAATGCCTTGATACTCGCGCGTGAGGTAGCGAAATCAACAGCGTGAATTCTCCTCCATTATCGGTGGGCAAGCACCGATTTTTCGACCACTCTCCTCTGCGCTTTCGGTTTGATGCGCTTGATGGCTTCTCTGCACGCATCCTTGCTTGGTATGAGCGCCGCCCACAAGCGGCTAAGCGTCATCGACGGCAGCGGCAGGAAATATCGATTCCCTCCGGTGTTGCGGTGTCCTTTGGTCCGCGAAGATCGCCGTGCACCGGCTCAAGGGGCTTTGTTGTACGCGATGCGTGTTTGCGGTTGGGAGCAGGCGCCTTCTCATTTTGGTGGTGACACGGTGTCACACACCGCTCCACATGGTCAATACAGGACACCTTGGCGCCATTTCCTCCTTCCCAAGTCTGCGGAGTGCATCAAAATTCAAATGCCCCATCCTCTCATGCCTTCGCCACGCTTACATCTCCTCTCGCATGCCGCAAGACAAAGTGGTCAAATTTGCATGAAGTTGGAGTGTGTACAATCTGTTAGCCCCTCTCTTCACCTTGGCAATCAAGCGGCGGTGTGTTCCCGACACGTAACACGTCGTGATATATCTCCACCTTGGAGCCGGTCTCGTCAAAGTCGACCCCAGATCGATAATGGAGTTCTTCGGGGGCTGGTATATAGTACACGCCTGCAAAGACTCTATGCTCACCGATTCTTCCTTCGAAAGCAATCGAACCGATGCCTTTGATGTCAACTTGGGCGCATCTCCAAATCGGACCGTGCCTCGCGACGTCGTGTTCAAATCGAAAAGAGCTCACGCCGTCGGTCACCATATGGTGTGTAGCTCACGAATCAAGGTACCACACATCGCCTTTTCTTCATCGCCATTGGCACCAAGGAAGGCGCTGGCTTTTGGTTCTTCCAGATTCACCTCTTGAGCAAAGATAGGTGTATGCTTGCGTGCACTTATCAAGATCAACGAGCCCATGCGCCGTAAGCGAGCCCCATCATCCTCGCGATTCTCGCATATCGCACACGGCCATTGTGGCGCCGTCACCGCCGCCTGCGCCCCTCGGCCACCAGGCTTGGCCTTGATTGCCACCATGACGCCGCCCGCGCGGATTCTGCCTCGCCCGTCGCATGCGCGGTCACCGCCACCATCACGGTCACCATCTCTGTCTTGCCGTGGATGAGGCGATCTCTTGCCCGATGGCCCTCCGCAGCCAATTGTGGAGTATCGCCACGGCGTCCACCATCGCGACGCCGCCGCCCGCCCTTTTCTCGCTCAAATACGCCGCGATCCGCGCCACCACCGCCGCCTTTGGCCGCTGCGATTGATTCTTTGAACTAGAGCCGGCAGAATCATCCCCGCCGCCCTTCTTCTCCTTCTTCCGGCGCGCGCCATTGCTCCTCGGTATACATGAGCTTGCCGCCGACGGTGATTGGCTCGAGACAGGCGCTTGCTCTTCACGGTCATCAATGACCTTGAGCCTCCCGATGGCTTCCTCAAGCGTGAGCATGTCAAAGTCGTAAAGCGCTCAATAGCAACCACAATCTGCGTGATACTTCTTTGATGCATCGTGACGCAGATACTTCTCCACCACACGCCTCTCGCCGATGTCCCGATCACCATGAAGGACAAGGTCGTAAATCGCAGAGTTGAGAGGCGGAAGGCAAAATCTTCGACGCTCTCTCGACTTGATTATAACCGATGTTCCCGATCGCGGCGGATGCGTTGCGGCGTCGTCATGGCAAGTATTCGGATCCTCATCGCCCGACGCCCGATGTTGTGGCATTTATGGCGCCCCACGCCTTCGCCGCCGTCCGCTTGTCGATGGCGGAATCCCCATCTCCTTGGGAACCGGCTGCGACAATCGCCTCCATAGCCCGCCGGTCGTCGTGTGAGCGAGACCGCTCTCCTTCAAGCTGCGTCCCACAGATCGCGGGCTCGCATTCGCAGATTTCATCTCTTGGCTCCATTCGTGGTAGTTCGTTTTGGACAGCATCGGCGATTCGTGCATTTGCCGAGTCCTCATGATACGACCTGTCATTACTTGACTGGCGACTCCGTCGCCCGCCACCATGCCACGCTCATGGATGGCGGAGATGGAGACCTCCTCCTTGAGCTCTTGACCTCCTCCTCTCCTTCTTCATACTCCAGCTCTCTTCTTCTTCCTTCTCTCTTGCAATCTCCTCCTCTGAACACCTTGCAGTCCTTGCCGCCTCTCTGCGCCATTGCCGCGCACTTGCCTTGTATTTGCTGGACCAAGCATTGCACCTCCTCTGCAGCTTTCAAGCGCGCGGCCCGGCCAGAGGAGTCCTCCGCATCGGTGGACGCCCTGGCAGCCTTCCTTCAAGGCTTTCGAGAGGATGTCGAGGCCATGGATGAGAAAGCGGGGAAGGGGGCTCAGTAGAAGATGAGAGAGAGGTGTCTAACCTAGGCTCTGGTACCAATTGTTGGAGGTACAGAGTGTTTTACTCAGCCAGGATTATACACCCAAAGTGATGCTCTTTCATATATAGGAGATAAGTAGCACATTGATTACATTGATGGCTCATTAGAGCATTAACTAAACAGCTAACTGCCTGGGTACTTGCACAGTCACTTGTGCTGCCCAAGGCCTTAATAGCAGAAACATAAATAAGCACAGATAACTAAGTGATAACTGGGAGCAGGACTTAACTTCTACAGCTGTAAGAGGTTTAACAACATCCACGGATGGTGATCTTCTTGTATCATGTGGCGTTGACTGCACGTAAGTCAATTGTTGATATCACTTTCTTTGTCTTCTATAGACAGAGGCGTTCTAGTGTCCACTGGATTTCCGTATGTGTCAAGTTGCTTTATATCTCTAAACGATAGGTAGCAGTAACGCATCTTATGCACTTACATACAGCCAAGAAAAACTTACTGTAGGCATGATTGGTGGGGTTAGAGATAATAAATAAAGCTTAAAGATGCCTTGATGCCAATATTTTAGAGCATCAACTGATGGCCTATTTTTGGAGTGGTTTATATGCCTAAGAGGCTAAGAACCATCTGTACTAAGTACATTGGGCTGCCTTCCAGGGTTTATACAGATTATGCATGTTATGCTGTACCATCCCTTGCGGGAAAAAACACCTAACGACGCCATCCACGACGTTGAACGGACGTCTCGCTCACATCTCCCTGCTCGCCTCCCACCCCTTCGCTGGTTCGCCCTTCTCCTCCGTCTCGCCAGAACCACCGGCGGAGCCACACAGACTGCTGGTGCTTCCTTGCATCTGCGGGCTGCTCCTCTAGACTGCATAGTTCCCCTTCCCGTATCACGCTCTGTAGTTGCCGGAGGTGGTGGCGCGGAACGACGCAGCCATGCAGAAGTTGCACAGGATGACAGGATGCTGCTCCCGTCTAACGCTTGGCGCAGCCCCGAGGCTTGTGTGAGTTCAGCTGCGCTCTTGCCTTGCTTTCGTTCGCTTCGACTTCGATCTGTGAATGACCGGCTGTGATTTCCGTCCGTCTTTCCATTTTCAGAAATAAAAAATTGACCCTTTGCCGTGGTGTGCTGCGGTTCTGCCTGATTAGATGGAAGAGGCCACGAATCGGGTTCTGTTTTTCGGATCTGTAGTTCTCTATAGGATTCTGAAGTTATTATGAACTGTTGCTGCGTTCATAACAATAAATTTTCACGTGTGAAGTATGGACTCGTATGGCCAAACAAACATGACCTTGTACTAAAATATACTATTCCATACAACCATCCAAACAAACAGCTTGTATCGTCCTGTACACCTTACCAAACATCGAACATGATACAGTTTTATCTGGAATTGTCCCATCCAACATCTGTGCATCCAGAATGATCCATCCCATTCATCTTGAGTATGGTGGAGGAGCCGGAGCCATGGCAGCCATCAGAGCTTGCTGCTGGTGTGGAGGGAAGCCGGCGCGAGGCGGTGGAGCACGAGGACCGCCTGGGTTGGAGCCGGGCCACATATGAATGGACCCAGTCCATGGATTGAACACGGAGGGCCATGGCGAGCCTCCAGAGCTGCCTTGGCCACGCCCACCGCGGCGACGGCGCCCACGTCCGCTGCCAGAAGGGGCGTCCCCAGTAGAGGGAGATCCCTGAGGGGGGCGCGGTGGCGCAGGAAGTGGAGGCGCAGGCGGCTTGCTGGTCGGTGTAGCGAGAAGCGCCGAGGGAGGAGCCATAGGCTGCTCCATGTTGAGCTCAGCAAGGCGCAGGTCTGCGCGAACGTCGCTGAAGGAAGGAAACGGCTTCTGGCGAGTGATCAGCTGTGCCATGAACTGAAACCGTTCATTGAGGCCGCGCAGGACGTTCAGGACGAGCGTACGGTCACTGATGGGCTCGCCAAGATGAGCAAGGGCATCAGCCTTGGTCTTCATCTGGCGGCAGTAGTCGTCGATGGAGAGGGCGCCCTGAGAGAGGTTGCGAAATTCAGCATCAAGAAGGAGTGCCCGGGATTCGCGATTTCCCAGGAACTGATTCTCGACCCCGAGCCAAGCCACCCGGGCAGTGGTGCCAGCGTGCTCGTGGACGATGTCCAGAAGGTCGGGGGAGATGGTGTTGAAAATCCAGGAGACGACCACGTAGTCCATGCGAGACCATGCCGGATCGTCGGGGCGGGCGTCATCGCTGAGGACATGGCCCCTCAGGGAGAACCGCCCGAGGGTGAGGAGGAAGTAGCCGCGCCACTTGGAGTAGTTCGATGACGACTGGAGTTCGAGGACGATGGGGATCGGGCGCTTGATGTTCTGGACAGCAGCCGCCTGGCTGTGGAGATGAGCAATGGCCGCGGCTTCAGAGTGGGCGTCATCGTCGCGAACATCGTCGTCCTTGAGCAGCTCCGCGCGAAGACGATTGCGGAGGGCGGCAGCCTGCGCGCGCTCTTGGTCAAGAGCAGCGGCGGCAGTGCGAACGCGCTCCTGGGCGGCGGCGGCAGACTTCAGGAGGTCGGCCTCCTGTTGGAGCTGCTGGCTGCGCTCGGCGTTGGAGGAGCGGATGGAGATGGCTTGGGCCTCCAGCAGCTCGGCGGCGGAGGTAGCTTCATCACGAAGCTTGGCCGCAGCAGCGGTGGCCGAGAGACCGATGCTGGAGTCACCGGAGGTAGGGGTATCGGCGGCCATGGGCGCAGTAACAGCGGGCGCAGCGGCCTGGGGGCGTGCGCGCGGCTGGGGGCGCGAGCACGGCGCCTGGGAAAGAGGGGCGGAAGCGGCACAGGACTCAAAAGTCTCGTGATATCATGATAGAAGCCTAACAGGTTGAGATATTGTCTATGAAAAGCTGTGTTACAAGAGGGTTACATATATAGCCTAGGATACAGAGGTGCCCAAGGGGCCAGACCCGAAGGGGTCAGTTTAGACTAGAGTGATAGATTACAGAGGAGCCCAAAGGGCCAAGCCAGCCTGGAGGAGGTGGCGCATTCATAAGTAGAGTAGAAGCATTCACATAGAAACTAGATATTCTAACACATCTCTATACACGGAACCAAACACTACCTAAAGCAGTTCTATTATTTCTGTTATCTGTGTTATTACCATACACTTACACTCTCATTGGTTGCAGTGTTCGGCTCTGGAAAGACCCGATGCTTAAAATGGTGGACACTAGCGACCATACTGGAGATAATTCCCAGGCATGCACTGTATAGACACATCTATCTCGTTTTACTCAAATCCTGTTTCTCACTTGTTCAATTCACTAATTTGGTGTGCAGCCATCAGCAGTCTACACCTGGAAGCATGCATTCTGGTAAAGGCATCGTTTATTTTTCATATCTTAGCTTCCTCTTGCTTTTATATCTGAAAAAATTGTGATAAGAGTCTTTGTTCTCATTACTTTTAGGGGTGCTGACCACCAGTGGGACGGTAATCTTTTTGCAACTGTTGGTGCTCAAGTTGATATATGGGATCCTGACAGGTATATTGATTCATTTCTAGTTATTTCAATTTTGTGTCTATGTGTTACCAGCGTCAACGCTCACTTTATCTGTACAGGTCAGAGCCAATAAATAGCTTCGAATGGGGAAAAGATACGGTTCTTTCTGTGCGATTTGATCCTGGAGACTGTAATATTTTGATTACATCGGGCAGGTCAATTTTCTATTTATCTGCTAATTTTGATATGTTTCAAATTGTTTTGCTATGGTTTTATTAGACCCAGGGCACCATGCAGTAACTTAAATGAATTGAATGTACATTTTTCTCTATCTTTTCATGCTTGGTAACACTGATGCCATTTCTTGTTGTCATTGTTATCATAGTTGTGAAGGACCTTATGAGAATATCTCAGCCCCTTTCTTATAAACATTTTTTCCCAGAGGTCAATCACTCTGGTTGACATGACATCTCACAGTTATGTAGTGGTATCAACAAGAGGAATAGATAACTTTGTTTCTTGTTTGTTGGGACGGCTGTTCAAATGGCCCGCTTATGGTTGCACTAGTTTGGCTACTCCCTCCAGTTTGCAAATAATTGACTTTTTGGACAATGATATGGTCTTCTAAATGTAGCTTTGACCAATGAGCATCTTAACAAATTTATGCTTCTGTGATAGTACTTTTGAAGACAAATCTATGCATATGATCTCCAGGTTTTTGAACTAAATACTTTAAAGTTGTTTTTCATCAAAGTTTTAAAATTTTGACTCAAACCTTGTCCAAAACGTCAAATATTTGCAAACCAGAGGGAGTATATGAGTTCTAGACTGTCAATGTCTTCTCTCTGTCAGTTACCTTTTCTATGGAGCAAATTGTTTGTCTGTCTGTGATCACCATAAAATTGCTCTAGAGATCAGGACATATGTAACATCTCAATGAGGACAATGCTCTAGAGATCGCTAACTTTTGTGGTCTCATATATTCCAGTGATCGGAGTCTGACACTCTATGACCTGCGCATGTCATCTCCAGCTAGAAAGCTAATAATGAAGGTCAGTTGGCTCTGTTTGGAATCCTAATAGATGTACATTTCTTCTAGCTTCTATTTTGGTATCTACTGAATGGCATACAGTCTGACATATTATTTGCTTATGCAGACAAGGTGCAATTCAGTATGCTGGAACCCCAGAGAGCCCATGAACTTCACTGCTGTAAGATTAAAAAATTATTTTTATATTTACTTGAGCTGTCACATAAAGGGGCGTACCCAGTGCAGAGAGCTCCCGCTCTGTGCGGGGTCTGGGGAAGGGTGTTAGTGGCAAGCCTTACCCTCGCCTGTGCAATGCGAGGAGACCGCGACTCAAACCCGGGACCTTCCGGTCACAGGCGGTAAGACTCTACCGCTTGCACCAGGCCCGCCCTTCGGTTGTCACATAATTCTGACTAATATATTATAAAATATTTGTTAAGTCTGGCACTCCAGCATTTTTTTTTTGAATTGATGAAGTAAGTGGCACTCCAGCATTTGGGAACTGATGTTGTGAACTTGTGTTGCCTTTTGTCGCTAGGCAAATGAAGACACAAACTGTTACTCCTTTGATGCTAGAAAGCTAGATGAAGCTAAAATTGTTCACAAAGGCCATGTTTCAGCAGTGTAAGTGTATTTTTCTGCAAAATTACTTTTTTTGCTATTTATTTAGTAGGTGGGTCTGTAAAGATTTATTATCTTGACTAGCATATATCTCTTATCCATATGAAGAGCATATGAATATTGAGGAAAGATAGAAGAACCTATGAATATTTCCCTTTATGGCATATATCTCTTATCAAATTGAAGAACACCGGAATAAATCATGGGGTACATAGAGAAAATAGAAACTGGAATTGGCACTTAATTCCGTGGTGGGGTTGCTACATTGTCATAAAGTTGATTATTCATTAAACGTGGCTTAATCCTTCTGAAGATGCATATGTTGCATTAGCTCATAAGCACAGAAGATATCATTTCATGCAGTTGATCTGTACTTTTGACATTCGTAGCATACTGTCTAGTTTCTTTTACTTTGTGGGGTCATCTTACATGAATTTGGGTTTCCAGGATGGATATTGACTACTCACCAACAGGGCGTGAATTTGTCACTGGTTCATATGATAGAACAGTATGTTTACTCCTAAGAACTTACAATGATTTCATAGTCTAAGTATGTATTTGTTATTCCTATTCAGTGATTGATATATAATATAATACTTTTGCAGGTAAGAATTTTTAATTATCTTGGAGACCACAGCAGAGAGATTTACCATACCAAGAGGATGCAAAGGTTCTTCTTTGTTCCTACATTATTTGGCAGTCTTCACCTTTTCTTTCTAGTTACTGTTGGTGCCCTCATTTTTAGACCAAAGTCCAGACTTGGTTCCTTATACTTAACTTCAATGGCTGCCTTTTTTTTTCTATGGGACCAATTGACCCTCAAAATCTCTATGATGTAAAACTGAGTGGATCGGTTAGTGTGAGGTCTATTTATGTTGATATAGGGGTCTCGGAATGGGGGCATGGAGCATGCTTTAACTGAATTTTGTTTTCTATATAGTTTCAGAAAATAGTTTTGTTTAGATGAGTTCATCAAATTTGCATTATATGCATTTTTTTCCGAAAGATAATTTCCCTCTTTGCCATGAACACTTTTGTAAGATTCTAATCAATTTACCATACTACTTTGCAGGGTGTTTTGTGTGAAGTACACCTACGATGGGACCTATTTAGTCTCTGGCAGTGATGATACAAATCTTCGTCTGTGGAAGTCCAAAGCTTCAGAACAACTTGGAGTTGTAAGTTTTTTAATGCCATTCAGTGTTTTGAAGTTGCTGTTGTGTTTTTGCATGCTTGTTGCCTGCTGCTGTTTGGAGTCATGCTGAATTCAGGTGGTAGCTTTTTTGGACTAGTTCACATGGCGTCTGGCTTCTCACTGTGGATGCTGTGACTTAGCAGTATTGCAATAGCCAACTGTGTATGCCCTGATTTACTTCCTAGATTATGACTATAGTTGCTCTTTAATATGTATTTTCATATCTATTAAGGGATGCAAGAGGGCTGGATTCTACTGACCATTTGACCCATTTGTTGTTATTTTCCTTTGCCATTAATGGCAAGATCCATGTTTGAGAAAAAACTTATGACAAGAGCCATGCATAGAGAAGTGAATCAGTAGCTACATGGAATTAGACATTGAGATGGTCATCAGGCTTCCCTTGATCATGCTTGGTCATCGCTTGGGTTTGCTTTTGGTCAGTTGATTTTATTACCAGAATTATCCTGCTTGCTTGAAAACGATTGCATTAGCTTTTTTGGTACTCGGATCCAGAATGGATCTGGTCCTGTGTGCATTAAGTCGTAATTTGCTTCAAGAATATTAGATGTATAGGAGATGTATCGGATGTATATGTCTGTTCCCTCTACTTGGAGGGCCTCTTTGCATTTGTACACGGTAGATTTAACCAATTGGGCTCGTAATACAATCTGGTTGGCCTCATTCTAACATGGTATCAGAGAGCTAGGGTTTCGATTCCACTCACCTTCCTCTGCTGAGCCGCCGCGACCTGCCGACTCTGCTACCGGTCCACGCGCCCCGGCGCTCTAGCCCCCGTCGCGCGGCCTCGTCCCGCACTCGCGCAGGCCGCGCACGCTGCACCGAGCTCGTTCGCCCGCGCGCGTCGCCCCGAGCCCGTCTGCCCGTACGGCTCCCGCGTTGGCCGAGTGCGCGCCGCCCCGACCTCGACCGTCGGCGCGGCTCCTGCGCGCCCGTCCGAGCCCGCCCGTCCGCTCACGCGGCTCCCGCGCCAGCCGCGCGCGCCGCCCCGACCTAGGGTCCGCGGCCCTCCCTTGCTCGGTGCCCGCCAGCGCCTCTGTGCGAGTGCGCCTCCACGCGAGCCTTTTCTCTGCCTATTTGCCTTCTTCAAAAAAAAAAGAAGAAGAAAAAAAACAGCAACTAGTTGCCTTCTTCCATGGCGTCCCCTGACTGCCCTGGTGCTGTTCCTGTCCCCCGGTGCCTGTTATCTTCAATGGCACCAATTGGGGCGACTTTGTTTTTCATATGGAGGTACACATGGATGGCCAACTATTATGGGAATACCTCACAGGAGAGTGGATCTGTCCTTCCCGTCCTGTTTCTCCCCACACCGCCCACGTATTTGCCGGATGCTGATGATGATGCCAAGAGTGCTTTGCTTGAGGCATTTGAGGGTCAGATGGAGAGCTATCAGTCTGATCTCGGTGCTTATGAGACTTTGCTGCGCGAGGAGAAAGCTGCCAAGGCTATCTTACTTGCGAGCATGGAGGTCGATCTCTTGCAGTCCCTCAGAGGTCTTGCAACTTCACACCTTATGTGGGATCACCTCTGTCGCAGTTACGAGATCCGAAATGAAGGATGTACCTTGCTGCTGTTGAGGAGGATCAGGCGCTTCGTCAGCTTGACTCTACAGTTGAGGACTTCCACCGTCAGACAGCTGTCTGGCATCACCTCGACAGTTTGGGCCCTGAGTTCTGTGGTGGCGGTACTTGCTGGTGCTGTGATCGTCACCGGGACTAGAGAGACACCCTTCACCTTCACGAGTTTCTCTCTCGGCTTCGCCCCGAGTTCGAGACTGTCTGTGTACAGTTACTGACTCGTCGTTCGCGCTCATCGCTCTCAGAGGTGATGCCTGAGCTGCGAGCCGAGGAGACAAGTCTTCTAGCTGGGGGTGTGGGTCGTGTTCCGCCGCAGCCCTCCGTCCTGGCGGCCACACACCCCGAGGCCTCCCCGCCTCCGTCTCAGTCCTCTCCGGTGGTGGCGGGGGCACCTTTTGGTGTTCAATGTGGCTACTGCAAGCTTTATGGCCATGAGGAGAAGGATTGTCGCAAGAAGCAGCGCGACCGACAGGGGCGTCGTGGCAGGCGCCCCTCTCAAGGGCAGGGTACTTGTTCTGTGTCTGCAGCGGAACAGGAGGTTCTTGCTCTATTTCGTCGCTTTACTACTGCATCTCAGGCCTTCGCTCCAGGGACTACTGCTCAGGCTTCTAGTTCCGCTCCTCCACCGTCAGGTACATCATTGCCATGATTTCTTGACTCTAGCGCCTCTTTTCATATGACACCTATTCGACACACTTGTCCTCTCTGTCTTCCCTCGATCCACCTCTTTTTGTTCGCACCGCAGATGGCACTTCGCTTCCTGGGAGAGGTGTTCTTCCGACATCTTCTTTTGATGTTCCTACTGTTTTGCATGTTCCCAAACTCACCATGCAAATGCTGTCTCCGGGTCAAATCACTGATCATGGCTGTCACATAATCCTTGAGTCTGATTCTTGTTGTGTTTAGGACCTCTTTATGGGCCTTTTGGTGGGAACTGGGCCTAGGCGTCGGGACTCACAACGCCTATGGGAGCTTGATTGGTTGCGTCTTCCTTCACCTGTTTTGGCTCCCTCGTCACCCGGCTCCAGCTTTAGCGTCCACCACTTCGACTTCTCATACTTTTGCAGAGTGGCATCGTCGTCTTGGCCACCTTTCTGGTTCTAGATTGTCCGCTCTTGTTGGTAGTGGTGTCTTAGGTCCTGTTTCTAGTGACACTGCTCTCCATTGTATGGGTTGTAAACTTGGCAAACAGCTGCAACTTCCTTATCCTTCTAGTGAGTCTAAGTCTCAGAGGCCTTTTGATCTTATTCACTCTGATGTACGGGGTCCTGCACCTTTTGTTTCTAAAGAGGGTCAATCATATTATGTTCTGTTCATTGAGGACTATTTGAGATTTACCTGGATTTATCTAATGTCTTCTTGTGGCCAATTTCTTTCTATCTACCAGAAATTTGCCACCATGATTCATACAAAGTATAACTCTCCCAGTCGAGGTTTTCGTGCGGACTCTGCTGGTGAGTACATCTCTACTGCTCATCATTCCTATCTTGCTAAGCAGGGTACTCTTGCCCAGTTTTCATGTCCCGGTGCTCATGCTCAAAATGGTGTTGCTGAGCGAAAGCATCAACAACATTCTTGAGACTACTCGTGCTCTTTTGATCTCCTCTACGCTTGCTCCTCATTTCTGGGCTGAGGCAGTTTCTAGGGCTGTTTTTCTGATAAATCGCCAACCCTCTACTGTTCTTCAGGATTGCACTCCCTATGAGCGTTTTTTTTGGCACCCCTCCTACCTATAGCCATCTTCGCTGTTTTGGGTGTGTCTGTTACGTCCTTCTTCCACCTCATGAGCGCACCAAACTCACCGCTTAGTCCGTTGAGTGTGTTTTACTTGGGTACAGTATGGAACATAAGGGTTATCACTGCTATGACCCTGTTGCTCGTCGAATGATGATTTCTCGTTCCTTTGATGAGTCCCGACCTTACTATCCTCGTTCCTCCTCCGGTACTTCTGGCACTGCTGAGTCCCTCTCGTTCCTCACTTTACCTGGTGGTATCTTCCACTGTCGTCTCCACCCTTTTCACCACCTCAGGTACCTTTTACTCCACCTCCGCCATGTCCTCCTACTTCTCCACCTCCGTCACCTCCTCCTACCTCTCCACCTTTGCCACCTCCTCCTACCTCTCCACCACCAGTCTCTTCTCCCCCATCGCCGTTGTCCTTCACGTGAGATCACTCACTACTACACTCGTCGTCCGCGACCTGTGCTGCCACTTGACTCTTCCCCATCCGTCCTTGGACCTCCTCCTCAGTCTCCTCGCTATGCTCTTCGTGACCGCAGCACCCTTCGTCCTCCCGATTGCCTTGGCTTCGCTGCTGCCGTTTTGGCTGAGCCCGCGACCTATCGGGAAGCTGCTGCTCACCATGCATGCTATGGTTGAGGAGATTGCTGCCCTGGAGTGTACTGGCACCTGGGATCTTGTTCCTTTGCCACCTCATGTCACTCCTATCACATGCAAATGGGTGTACAAGGTAAAGACCTGCTCGGATGGCTTTCCTGAGCGCTACAAGGCTCGTCTAGTGGCGCGCGGCTTCCAACAGGGGCAAAGTCGTGACTATGAGGCCAGTCTCAATGCTAGTTTCATGGGAGTTTCATGCACATTAAATAAGGTGCCACCTCAGCAAAAAGAGTGATTTTGGCCTATATTGATGAAGAGAGAGAATGATATCATTTCATGGGGATGAAACGAACTGGCGTTGTTTCCTACGACTTGGAAAGCGCACGAAACCCGCACTGAGGCAAGTTCGTTTCATCACCGCGATCCGGTGCGGGGAGCTACACGCGCACCTCCTCTCCTCTCCCTTCCCAGCGTGCACGCAGGTCGAATCTCCAAGGCCTCCCTGTTCCTCTCCGCTCCGGGCATCTCCCCAGCCTGTGGTTGGACGCGGCTCCAGCGGCGGCGGCGGCGACGACGGAAACCTCAGGGCGACATGGGTCTGGCAAGGGAGGAAAAGGGCACGGGGTTGGCCAGCGGCCCAGTGCAATCGTAAATCGGCGTCATTGCCTGCGCCACTGCTGTGTCCATCCCCCTGCGCCGCTGCCGAGTTCGTCGCCAGCGCATGCATCTGCATCACTGACCTATGCGCCACCGCAAGGAGTAGAATGGGGACCCAGATCAATTTTTCTATCCCTACATGGTAACTTGTTTATGTTCCAGATCCGTAGTACTTCTGTTCGTGCTCCTGAATATTGTTTAGTATACAAATTTTTGTCCGTACATGACACTGCTGCCATGCCCCTCTGCTGTTAAGTCTGGAGGTAAAGATTCATGGTAAGACTCGTGTTTTGATTGCAGCTTCAGTGCCAAGTTGGGATAATTTAGTGGCTTAGTAATTTCAGAGTAGCATTTGGCTCAGTAATTTCAGAGTAGCATTTGGCTCAGTATAATTTCAGAATCTTTAATTTTCTTTGTAGTTTTAGACCACTGAGTAGAACAAATTTCATTCTTAACATAGGATTGACCAAAAGCTGCTTGGTGAAGCATTTGGTTAGTTGTGAAAACTCGTCCTGAATTCCTTTTCGTTTTGGTGAAGATAAATCTGTGCACTCTCTATGTGTATTTCTTTTCCTGAAGTTAATTTTGGTGAAGATGAATCTGTGCATTCTACAATTTTCAATTTTAGCTGCGTCTAGTGAGAGCTCATCATTACATTCTACGCGCTGCTGTGATCAACTTTTTGCCGGAGTTCTGAAAACTCCTATCTGAATGTGAAAGCTGCAGCCTGTAGTGTGGAGATAGCTATCTGAATTTTCAATTTGAGTGTGGAATGCTGCAGCATGTAGTGTGCTAATCGAATATTGAAGATAATTAATACGTAGTTTAAGATATATTGTATCTAATTATTTTCATATATGCGACTCCATTTCATATCCTATGAATATCGAAGATAATTATTATATTTTCACTTGCAATAATATCAAATGGCTACATTGTTCATATGGCATACTTGATCCTAACATAATGTAGGAATTAAATGTTGCAGCTAGCCTATGAAACCGTGAAATGAAACTGTGCATTGAGAGAGCATGTTTCATACTCAGTTTTCACTAGTGTCACGTCTTGGAAACAGTGACATGAAACTTTGCATTGAGACTGGCCTGAGGAGACCTTCGCTCCTGTCGCTCACAAGACTACTATTCGAACTCTTCTTGCAGTTGCTTCTGTTCGTCAGTGGTTGATATCTCAGTTGGATGTCAAGAACGCCTTCCTCAACGGCGAGTTGCGAGAGGAAGTCTATATGCAGCCACCTCTAGGATACTCTGTTCCTGATGGCCTGTTTTGTCGGTTGTGTTGTTCTCTCTATGGCCTTAAGCAAGCTCCTTGGGCTTGGTTTGAGCATTTCTCCTCTGTTGTCATCGATGTTGGTTTTACACCTAGTGACCACGACCCTGCTCTTTTTGTCCACACTTCCCCTCATGGTCGCACCCTTCTTCTCTATGTCGATGACATGATTATCACGGGCGACGATTCTCAGTACATTGCTTTTGTGAAGCAACGTCTCAGTGAGACATTTCTTATGTCTGATTTGGGTCCCCTTCGTTACTTCCTTGGTCTTGATGTCACCTCCACATCTGATGGTATTTTTCTCTGAGGAGAAGTACACTCAGGAAATCCTTTCTGTGCTGCTCTCACTGATCATTGGACTGTTGATACTCCTATGGAGCCTGGTGCTCACCTCAAACCCACCGACGGTGCACCACTTGCTGACCCCACTCGCTATTGTCAGCTTGTTGGGAGCCTTGTATACCTTGGGATCACCTGTCCTGATATTTCTCACTCTGTTCATATCTTGAGTCAGTTTGTCTCGGCTCCTACCCAGCTCCATTATGCTCACCTCCTCCATGTTCTGTGCTACCTTCCTGGAACTATCTCGTGCCGCCTTTTCTTCCCTCGTTCTAGTTCTCTTCAGCTTCAGGCGTACTCTGATGCGACCTGGGCGAGTGATCACTATGATCGCTAATCTCTCTCTCTCTCAGCATGGAAAACCAAGAAGCAGACTGCAGTTTCCCGCTCTAGTACTGAGGCTGAGCTGCGTGCTATGGCGATTGTGACTGCGGAGTTGACATGGCTACGATGGCTTCTTGAGGATTTTGGTGTGCCTGCCACTGCACCCACTCCTCTCTCTCTTCAGACAGCACCGGTGCGATCAGTATTGCTCGAGATCCGGTCAAGCATGAGCTCACCAAACACATTGGCGTTGATGCTTCCTACATGAGATCGCAGGTGCATGATCGGGTTGTGACGCTTCACCATGTGCCTTCAGAAGTTCAGCTAGCGGATTTCTTCACGAAGGCACAAACACGGGGGCCCATCATAGATTCTTGCTCTCCAAACTCAATGTTGTAGATCCACCATGAGTTTGAGGGTGGGGGGGTGTTAGATGTATAGGAGATGTATATAGGATGTATATGGCTTTTCCCTCTACTTGGAGGGCCTCTTTGCATATGTACACTATATATTTGCCCAATTGGGCTGGTAATACAATCTAGTTGGCCTCATTCTAACAAAGAACACCTAGCGAGGAACATCTATGTGGAAGCGAAGCAAATGCTCTTTTGTTTATTTTATTTTATTGAGAAACTGTGTTGCAATCATATATGCTTAGTTTAACCTTTGAGGATTAAGACTTGAATGATTGAAACCGTGTAAACTGATGAGGGGAACATGTGTTCTTGTACATGGTTGCATTCTTGTTTCTGTATTCGTTTTATGTCTCTGTTGTTAACTTATGGATACCTATTCTGGAAAATGATTGTACTACTTACCATTGATGCCTTAAGATTTTGTTGTTAGTTTATAGGCAATAATTGTCATCAGTTGTACTTACCATTAAATTGAAGAGTTTATGAACGTTTTGCTGTTGACTTCTTGTATGTGACTGAACAAATATCTTGTGCAGCTTCTTCCACGGGAGCGCAAAAAGCAAGAGTACCAGGATGCTTTAAAGGAGCGGTACAAGCATCTCCCAGAAGTGAAGCGGATTGTAAGGTAAGCTACTGTTGCCTCCTCTGGCATGCATGGGGAAATCATACCTTTTTTTTTCACAGTCGCAGGTAGTTGATGAGGTAGTCTCTTACCATTTTGGTTTGCTAAATAATAAGTTCCATCATGCATGGCTTTGTTGTTAATTATTATTACAGGCATAGACACCTACCGAAGCCAATCTACAACGCAGCCAACCTACGACGCACGATGATCGAAGCAGAAAACCGTAAAGAGGAAAGAAGGCGAAAGCACAGTGCTCCGGGGAGCATGACTGTGCAGCCCTTCAGGAAGCGGAGAATCATCAAAGAAGTTGAGTAGCCATAAAGTTTGCATGGTCGTGGAGTTTGTGTTGTTGAGGTGGTGCTTAGATGAGAATGCATGTTTCCATTGAGAGTTGAGCTCCAGTTTTGCCCTTCCTACATATATGTGCTGTATCCATGACTTTGTTTTACTAGTTATATATTTGAAATACCAAACCAAATATTCGTATCGAGCCATTGCGTTATAAGAGTCTGTAACCATTAGCAATCCGAGTTGAAGAGGCACGGAGAGTGTAGCCAAATATTTGAAATACCAAACCAAATATTCTCAGGGAAACTGACGCTTGATGCCTGAAATTGGCCATTCAGTTTCAGTGAACTGGACTACTGTAGAGGCAAGGCATCATCTGGAACAGGAAAGCTGGTCCGGGCCAGCAGAATATATCTGTGTAAATTGCTGGCGGTTGTTAACTGTATAAAGGCCCTTATACTAGAGGCCCATGAGGCTCTCTCTCTCTCTCTATATATAGTCATCTCCACCTGTGGAGTGATTATTGACTTAGATCCCAAGGTTAGTAACATGGAATCAAAGCCATGGATGTCTCAAATTACGGCAATTGTCATCAATATTACTCTTGATGGTCCGAATTATTTAGAATGGGCATTTTCTGTTGAAACTGCATTGAGAGGTGTTGGTCTACTTTTTCACTTGATGATCCACCGACTCTCAAGCTTGATGGTAGTAATGTTGCTGCAGTCAAAAGTTGGGAAATCAATGATGGGAAAGTAATGGCTGCTATGGTTAATAGTGTTAAGCAAACCATGATTATGCGTCTGCGTAAGTTTAATCAAGCCAAACCTATGTGGTCTTATTTGAAGGCACGCTATGTTTAGGAAAGTGGTGCTCTTCAACATACTCTCATGCAACAACTTAATGTTATTGAACAGAGAGACATGTCCATTGATGAGTATTATTCTTTCTCTGATCGTTTGATGGGTTCGTTGATGTCCATGGTACCCCAATGTATAGCAGGTCAGAACTGTACAACACTTTCCTTTATTGAGTAGTTTCTTACTAACAAATTTGTCATGGGAGTTAGGGCAGAGTTTGATTCTATTCATACAAGGTTGCTTCATACTTCCTATACTCTGACCATGGCACATGCATTGTCTCTGAAGAGACACGTCTTCAGTCCTTGTCCCTTGTGTCTCACCCTCACAGCGTGTTGGCTGCTTCTCGGAGAACCATTGCATCCAAAGAACCTTGTAAGCATTGTGGCAGGACTAATCATAGTTCAGATACCTATTTTGCTAAGCATCCAGAGAAGTTGGCTGAATTTCGTGCCCGTCGTGCTGCTCGTGGTCATGGTACTTCTTCCACTCCTTGAGGTTCAGGTTCTGTTGGGTCAGTTTCTGTTGCTGCTTCCTTGACTGTCAGTGCTCCTTCGTCTTGGGTGCTTGATTCTGGAGCCTCCTGATGGTGATTCTATTTAGACAGCTGATGGTACATCTTGTCCTATCACTCATCAGGGTTCACTTTGCAATAATCATTTTTCTGTACCCAATGTTTCTTTTGTACCTCGGGTGTCTATGAATCTTCTGTCGGTTGGTCAAGTTACCGACCAGAATTGTTTTGTTGGTTTTGTTGGTTACCGACCAGGAAAGTGATTGGGACTGGCCATCGCCGTAATGGTGCTTCTAGCCTCTATGTTCTAGACACCTTACATCTCCCTTCGTCTGTTGCATCGACAGCTCATGTCTCATCTGCTGCATCGTCTTCAGCCTCCTCCTTCGCCAAGTAGCATCATCGTCTTGTTCATCTTTGTGGGTCTCGTTTGTCCTCCATGGTAAATAAAAGCTTGTTTAGGTCATACATCTATTGAGTCTAGCTTTCATTGTAAGGGTTGTAAACTTCAAACAAATACAACTTTCACATTCTTCTAGTGTTTCTCATTCTGCTAGACCTTTTGATCTTATTCATGCAGATGTATGGGGTCCTGCACCTTTTGCTACAAAGGGTGGCCACAAATATTATGTCATTTTTATTGATGATTATTCTCGCTATACATGGATTTGTTTTATGAAACATCGTTTGCAGTTGTGTTCCGTTTATCAGTCTTTTGTTCAAATGGTTCGCACACAGTTTTCTACTCCCATTAAAATTCTTCGTTTTGATTCTAGGGGTGAATATTTGTCTGCTGCTTTTCACCAATTTTTGTCCTTCGAGGGTACCCTTGCATAGTTGTCTTTGTCCAGGTGCTCATGCTCAGAATGGTGTTGCTAAACGACAACATCGCTGTCTCATAGAGATAGCTCGCACCCTTTTGATTTCATCTTTTGCCCCTTCTCATTTTTGGGGTGAAGCTATTTCCACCGCTGTCTACCTTATCAATAGGCAGCCCTCATCCAAACTGTCAGACCAATGCCCTGGTGAAATACTTTATGGTACTCTTCCTAGCTATGATCATCTTCGCGTTTTTGGATGCACATGCTATGTTTTGCTTGCCCCTCGTGTGCGCACTAAATTAACTACACAGTCTGTTGAGTGTGTTTTTCTGGATATAGTCCTGAGCATAAAGGTTATCGATGCTATGACCCTTCTTCCCATCGTATACACATCTTTAGTGATGTTAATTTTATTGAGGACCATCCTTTCTTTTATAACCCTTCTACCAAGTCCTCCTATTCTCCCACAGAGTCCACCTCCTTGTGTCTTCCTCCTCTTTCATCTAGCGATAACGCCTCCACACCTTCTGCTCCTATTTCCATCCCGCCACCTTTACCTCTTGCAACATCTCCACCTCCACCACCTTACTCTTTTTCCAAACCACCTATCACACGTGTCTTCAGCCGTCATGCTAAAAAACCCAACCAACTTCCCTTTAGTTCTACCACCTTGGCCAGTCCTGACGAGCCCGTTGATGATTCTAATAATACTATTGATGAGTCATCTATTGTTTCTGATGAGTTATAGGTTGGTCCACAGTATAATCTTTGAGATCGGACCACTGTTTGTCCTGCATACAAGTATGGTTTTCCTCATGTGAATGCTATTGTTGATGAGCCATCTACTTATCAGGAAGTTTCTCGTATTCCAGCATGGCAGCTAGCTATGTCTAAGGAACTTGCTGCCCTTGATCGTCAAGGCACTTGGGATCTTGTTCCATTGCCATCACACACGATACCCATTACATCTAAGTGGGTATTCAAAGTTAAGACCAAGTCTGATGGCTCTATAGAGAGATATAAGGCATGTCTTGTTGCTAGAGGTTTTCAGCAGACTCATGGTCTAGATTATGATGAGACATTTGCACCTGTTGCTCATATGGCGACTGTTCGTACTTTACTTGTAGTGGCTGCTTCTTCTTCATCTTGGCCTATATCTCAAATGGATGTCAAGAATGCTTTTTTCATGGTGATTTGACTGAAGAAGTTTATATGCAACCACCCCTAGGTGTTGTTGCTCCTCCCAGATATGTTTGTCGTCTTCGCCGTGCTTTATATGGTCTTAAACATGCGCCTCATGCTTGGCATGAGCATTTTGTATCTGTGATATGGGCTGCTGGTTTTTCATCTAGTGATCATGATCTAGCTTTATTTGTCCATTTGCACTGTAAGGGCGTACTTTGCTTCTTCTATATGTTGATGATATGCTGATTACTGGCGATGATGAGGAGCACATTTCTCATGTGAAGCAACAGCTTAGTGCTGAATTTCAGATGTTCGATTTGGGTCCGCTCAGTTATTTCTTAGGCATTGAGGTCAAGCAATCTACCAAGGGATACCATCTTTCTTAGTCTAAGTGCATACACGATCTTACAGGAATCACCGATAATCGAACTGCACCTACACCTATGGATCTTCACTTGCAGTTTTGTCTCACTGATGGGGTACCTCTTTAGGATCTTGTCGCAGAACCGACCAATTTATAAGAATACAAGTACAATGGCAATCCGCAAGCGGTCGCACTGTCATACTTGAACCCATATAAACCCGGTAGTCCGTCGAGTACCACGACGGGTCTCGATAAACGATTTACAACAACCAAGATCGTACAGATTCAACATACATGCCACATATTACATAAAGTTCACAGATACTTTTCATCATCGAGTACTTTAATAAAAGTTATTACAAACCGAGTTTGATAAATAAAGCGGAAGCAAATAAGTTCGAAGATAAAGTTTCCAACATAGTTTGATATGCATGCCAAGCTAGATCACGGTCCACAAAAGCAAGGATAGGAATTACTAAAGAAGCACGCCAAGGCTTACTCCTCATCCACAATGGGATAGAAGCAACTCTTGCAATAACCATGATACACGGTGCCATCTCGCAACATTGGGAAAATAAACCCCGAGTACGAGAAGGTACTCACTAGACTTACCCGTCATGAAACCGAAAATAAAATGACTCCAAGGATTATGCAAATTTGTATAAGTGGCGTAACTTGACAACATTTTTGCGTAAAAGCAATTAAATCATGGTATGCAGTTACTAATTCTTTACCAAGTTAATTATAACTATTCATTTCTAGGTTAGCAACTATCCTGTGCCAAACATGTGGTACATCCTTTAGAAGCATACAATAGTAACCATAGCAGGTATTGTAATTCCATTTTCGTCCGAACCATCATGTTCCATAACACGCGATTACTACGATGTTGGGACTAGCCAAGTTTCTCACTATCCGGAGAGACGGCGATTCGAATCGATTTCAACAGTGGGAATTTATTCCTAACACAAACCCAGTCTACCAGGCCACGATAGCCTTAGGTCACCTTTGATACAACTTCGGTACACATGTAGAGTGGGTCCGACTCAGCGCCGCACAGCGGTCTGGAACACAGATGATGCCGGGATGCTCGAGCCAAGCACGCCCTTGGGCTCGATCGATCGTTCCCGGAAGGATGTATGTGCAATGTAGCGATTCGGCTAGCCGAGTTGAATTATCGGTTAATAGCGGTTGAACGAGTTATCCGGCCTGCTAAGTGAGAGGCATGCGTTCAATCTTGTCGAAGCACCAACAACGGTACGGTCCTTAATCGACATAGACGG